GTTTTCATCAAAAACCTTAATTTCTTTTCGACTGAGGAAAGAAAGAAATGGACATCTTGGATGACATGGGGGTGAGTAAATTATCAGCAAAAGTTTTTTCAAAAGTGAACTAATCCTTTAAGGCCCGTTTTAAAAATAGCTGTTTTGGTGTGTACCACCTTAAATGTAAATGAGCTGCATATCCCCGCCCTGCTTTTGGATGTGGGCGTAACTTAAATATCTATGGCAATAAACAGTCGGTAGAGCAGAATGGCTGTGAGTGAGAGACACGCTGTTTTCAATGGCATTAACCAGAATGTTTGAACCAGAATCAGACCCAGATAATGAAGAGACTCCGGCAGAAGAAACACAAATGAGAATCATCTCGGAATTCCGAGATGATTCTCATTTGTGTTTCCTCTGCCGGAGTCTCCCTTTGCAATTATGGAAATGCAACACACACACAGACTGTGATAACGTTGACGCAATTTTTTTGAAACTACAAACACAAATACCGTGATAACGTTTGCTACGTACAAATGAAATTACATTTATGCGAGGGACCTGTTGCGTCATGTTTACATTACTTGTCATACAGGTGCTTCTGTGGCAAATGTGAGAAGATGGCTACAGAACAAGATCTTTATAACGTATTTATAAACGTGTTGTTGTTACACACTATGCAAACAAGGTTTAAATTATATACACAGAAATCCTACGACGACGACAACAACTTTAGACACGTTTGTTGTTGAATTGGCTGACATCGACTGAAATGACTAACGTTATTTGCTCAAAAATCATAAAATACACTTACTTCTTCTGGAGGTGACGTTTGATCGCGAACAGTAGGCAACGATCCACACTTGAGGATTAACTTTGAAGCAAGACCTGCTTTGAATTGACCCTCGTTCACGAAACAGTCAGTTAGAAATTGATTTGCGCGAACATACGTTAAAAGTAATTTGGAAGTTTAAGTGGTGCCTTTCCTTCGTATACAATCCATCCATTGCGTTTTCAGTGCCTCTGATGTCAGAAGTAAGTGAAATCTACTATGTACATTAGTAGTTTTGTATATGGACATTTAACGGCGTTTACATGCCCACGGAATCACTCCGACATTTAACGGCGTAGACATACACGCATAAACGTGGATAGCTCAAAATGCGTATAAATAACACACCACTTGACTTGAAAGTGTCGTGTATGTTTACACAAAAGTCATGATGTCATGTTGCGTTCTGAGACAGTGCTTATAAGATTTATTGAGATTGTAAAAAAAAACACTGGGTGGATTTTTATCAATCTAGGGTGGTTCTACTCACACACTTTCAACACACATTTATGTTCAAACACCATGTAAAAGTGAGTTTTGCATATTAGGTGCCCTTTAATGAATTGTATAAAGGCTTCTAAGAGGAAGTTACAGAAATGAGAAATGACGGAAGAAGTCGAGGTAAAAAACACCACGTCTTTCCAAAGATTGTTTATATAACATGTGTGCACATCTCATTCGTCTGCCTAAAGTGCGTCTAACCCAGCATTGGTTCTGCTATAGTTTCTGACAGGTTGAAAGTGTGGAGGTCTCCAGCGATACAGTCTCCATGCTTTTAGAGATCTGATGACCTATTCTCTCACGTCAGACCAAGAGCTTTCGGAGCGCTGTTTCCTTCAAGGAAAACAGAGCGTTACAGTTCCCCTAAGCGGCACAGGGACTCATTTGAAAGCGAATCTTATGGTAAATGCTTATTTTCAATTGTTGACAACACTGGACTCAACAATTGACCATGTACATGCCAACATCAGGCTCAAGATATAATACATGCAGAAACTTATAACTGCATTAAGCACTCGGAATAAGATGACTTGACAAGATGTGTTCTACTGAATTGAGCCTGATGTTTCTTAAAAACAATGAATCAGCACTTCTGATTCACAACGGAATAAAGGTAAAGCAAATGACTCGTCTCTCCTCTCACCTGCAGCGCCGGTCTTTGTAAAGCTCAGGAAGAACTACAGAGTAACTTCTGACTAATGAGCATCCACATGAGAGTGCATAATAACTAATTACACAAGCAGATATGTAACTGAGCAGCTTTGAACATGTTGTTGGTTTAAGAAATGTTTCTTGAAGGACAAATTAATGTCAAGCCACAATGACTAAAAACATCATAAAACAGATCCATAATACACTAAATATAGTTTAAAAGTATGACTTTAAAAAATACTTTTTTAGGTCAACAGCTTTGAATTTTAAATATTTTTCATTTTTATTTTAAAGTAATTTTGCTGTGCGTTTTTGTCCGTTTTTTTAATTTTTATATACAGTATATATAAATATACAGTTAACCTAAATTAAAATGATTAATGTCGTCTTGGCAATAAGCTGAGATAAAAATATGTTTTTTAATGTAATACTTTTTTTATTTTATTTTAATTAACATGTTTATTACATATGTCAAGTAACGGTTTTAGTTTTAGTTGTAGTTAACTATAATAACATGAGGGTGAGTAAATTGTTTGAATGAACTAATACTTTAAAGAAATGTAGGAACCTGGGATCTAACAAGACATCATTAGTATAGTACAATATTTAGACAATGTTACAAAGACAAATGTTTTTTATTAAATGTAAATTTAGAAAAATCTTCATAATCATCAGTAGATTTTTTTTGCTAACTTTATTACAAAATGACTGGCATTTCTAATAATGATCTTGGTGGAGATATGCCATTTCATTTCCACTGCTTTTTAATATAAAACAGATGAAGGTAGATTATCTCCATCTGAAATTTCTCCAGACTTTTGTTTAACTCTTTCTAGAGTCCTAAAAATAATGACTTCAGCTATAGTATGGACCAGATACCAAATAAAGTAGAATATGAATGAATGAACATATATATATATATATATATATATATATATATAACAATTCACAATTTAAAAAAAAATCCCTCATACTTCCATCATATGTCTGATTTGAAATACTTTCACACTCAAATTAAGCATAAGCAATGCAAAAGAAGAGTGGTTATCCTCAGAAAAGAATGTTTGTCCTTTTGCTTCTCAGGAGATTCTGTGCATAAAAAGTGTCACTCACACACACACACACACGTCATTACAGAAACCATAGGGAGAAGACAGGGGTTGCTCTTTTGAATAAGAGGAATTGTTCAGAATTATCTAGCATGTTATTAACCCTCTAATTATATCCACTCACTCTTTGCTTCATGGCTGCTCCCTGAAGAAGTGAGGTCAACACTGAGTTAAAAAAAAAAACGCCTCACATATTGAATGGAAATTTAGTATTTGAAAGCATTTAGTCATTATGTGCCGAACGGAAGATCCTTGCTGACAAAAAAACTCATCACAATCACCAGATCTTTTCTCCCCTGCAAGTAAATGACATAATATCCGCCCATTCCCACAAAAAAAACCCCCCAAAAAAACAACAACTCCACAATCAGCCTACCAAAGCGTTTTTTATCACATCTCTCATCATTATCAATTATTCTGACATTATATTCATCTTGTCATAACTCAACTGTGATGTTTTAGAAGGGGAATCACTTCTGTTCCACGTGAATCACAACAATCATAATCACATGCACAATCATTTTTATCCCAATCTTCCCTCCATGATACAGTCTATTCTGACATCATAAATATAATCACTGTCATTTTTCAATTTTGAGTTTTAATGAAATGAATTATCTCTGTCTGAGCATATTTTCCCGTTGTAAAAAACTATTGGAATAGTGACTTTTCAGCATATTCCTCTATTCTGACATCATAACCAGTATGTGATGGTTCATTTGTGATGTTTATGTACATTTATACCAGCCTGGCCAAACTTTTTCATCACTATTCTGATGACATTAATTCAAAACTGACATTTAACTCATTACTGTCTGGACTGCTGGTCCAATTATGATCTGCTCAACCAGACATCAAAAACAGAATCAATCACAATAATTTTCATCACAATTCCGATGTCATAATCACTATGCTACAATTAAAAAGTGACAATTTAGTCATGACTGTCTGAACCGCTGATATAATTACAGCTCAGTCAGATATCACAAACAGAATGAATATTTTCATGAGTATTCTGACTCTCTTCTGGGAAATCACTTATATCCTTCCTGACTTTTTGTACATTCATAAGACTAGCAGTCATCACAATCAGAATCACATTCATTTTCATAATTATTCTGATGTCATAATCACTACATACATAATTAAATATAGGAGAAACGATACAAATTGCTGAACATGATTGTTTCCACACTATTATTCGTATCACTAATCTGACGTCAAAATCACAACACTACAATTAAATTGCCCCTCATGATTGTCTGAACTGCCAGCAGATTTATACCAGTAGCAATCATCACAATAAAAATTGTAATCATTTTCGTCACCATTCTAACGTCATAATTACAAAACACGTAATTAAATAGCGACGTTTCTGTAGGAAGGAACCACTTCTGTCCCGCTTTTATCGCAAGCGCAATACTTGTATCGCTATTCTGACGTCATAATCACTATGATATAATTTAATTGTGACGTTTTAGTAGGGGAAATCACTTCTGTCCCTCATGACTGTCTGAGCTGCTTGTCCATTCATATCAGCTCATCCAGTAACTGCTGGCAAAGACTATCTCCAATCTCATTAGAGAAGTGCTGCGATAAACTGGGCTATGGTGATCACTGCTTGTACACTCTGTTCCACTGGACAAATCAAGCTGCACCTGTCCTGAAATCTACAGATATCTCGTGCTAAACGACAACCCAAGTAAACACTCGATGCACGAGCGCACAAAATAAGGAAGAACACACGCATTTGCTATTTGCAATAGAGTCATTTGATGCATCCAACTGATGCAACTCTTACGAAGTCCGACTGTTGACAACGAACGTCAACAGCCTACGGAAATAAATGATTCCGTTGTTTCCACGCAGATGACAAATCTCGTCATTATCAATGAAACATCTGACATTTATGTGTTTTTACATACCTTCATTGCAACTCCCGTCCGTGAAAACTGTCGAATTCTGAAGTGATTTGCATTGCAAGGACACTCAGGAACACTCCATTACGTCTTCTCTTTCTAGCATCCTTGTATATGTGTAGAAAAGAGGATAACGTAATGGCAAAGCGCGGATCCGCCAATCCCGAAATAGCAAGGCGCGCTGGTATGTATAGCAGCCAATCGGCGTTGAGTTTGCCGGCGAGTAGGCGTGTCTTAGAGCCACGCATGTGTGCAGACATCACAGTTTGATGCAGCGACACTGGAGTGTGAGTGTGACCCTTTAACGGTTTTCTCTACAGACCTTGTTTGGAAGCAGATGTGTAAAACGCTGATAATTATGTCCAGCTCTGATTGGCTCATTTCCCTAGCCGTGCTAATTAAATCCCCACTCTCAGTTTCATTAACAAGGAAACTGACTTAATGTGAGAATTATTCAGTGACTTTCAACAAAAGGGAAATCACAATCTGTTGAGACATCAGTTATAATCTAATCTGGCTTAATCTAATTGGATTCCAACCTTTCAAACTACTTACGATATATAAATGTGTATAAGAGTATAACATTATATTATGTGACAAATAAATAACAGGCTACTTATGTTTTTGTCTGTGTGACGCCAGAGGAAAGCGCTCGAGCAGCCCGTTGTTATGGTTACCTCTTCACATTAACGCGCTTTCTGTTCTCGAGCGTTAGTGAACTTGGCTAACTTTTAATCTAAAATTTGTGGTTATTGGGACGTTTAAATGAATATGATACGAACTGGCTGCTGTTTTGTTGTTAATGAACATATTTAAATGAGTTTGATAAGAACTGGCTAGTGTTGGTCTACAGCACTGGGAGGTGCAGGAATGTTTTATTAGTAACGAGGTATTTCACAATTATTACTTCTCACACACCGCTCTTGTTAAATACTTTCAAAAACCATATGTTTCTATTTTCAAAAACCATAACCTTAGCTGTCCTCTGATTTTTAACATACAAGATAAACAATTTGAACTTACTTACCCAAGTTATTTTAATAAATGCATATTTAATTAGGATACGGGCTCTAACGTAAATAGAGCATGCTCACCAACTTACATAATTAAAATTAAGTTAATATTTTATTTCAGTAGTTTTAACACACGTCATTGCTTTACAATAAAGTGCGAAAGCAGGACATCTAGTGGCCAGATGAGTGAAAGACAATCCATACACATACTGCACTTTGTTGAAATCAAAACATTTGTTTTTGCCCTCAAGTTGTTCCAAACAAATCTGTATGAATTCTTTAACACAAAATGAGATATTTTGAAGAATATGGTTAACAGTTGATGTATAGAAAACTATCACGGAAGTCGGGGGTTACGGTTACCCACATTCTTATACCCATACCCAGTGTTGGGAGTAACGCATTACAAAAGTAATACATTACAGTAACATATTACTTTTTGCTGTAACGCAGTAGTGTAAGGCATTACTAATCAATTTTCAGTAATATTTTACTCGTTACATGTTCAGTGAGGCTTGTATTACAGTTGTATTGTCTGCTTTTACTTCTTAAAGGCAACAGACTGTGTGAAAGTTTTAAAGCAGTCTTTTAAAGACTCTTCCAACTCCCAGCATTATTCTCCTTACCGTCCATATCCAATGCTGTCTTATCTTTAAATTAGGCTATTAGTATTATTTGAAGTTAACATTATAAAATACGTAGATCTACTCCACAAAACTAGTTGAGGATAAATTATTTAAAATTGGGGAAGTCCAGCATTATGGACATGATGGCATTTGCAGTCAAAACTTGAAATAAAAATTCTCAGAAAATTCATGTATTGAAACGTATATAGGCTCCTTAAAGGACTCCAGACATTAGACAAATATCAGTCTATGTTTTATTTTTAATATTAGGGAAAAGACACACATTCATGCGTGACAAAAAATAGGAGGCAAAATACATTTTTTGTAATTCTGTTAATTACACTGCGCAAATCGGATGAGGAAGGGTTGGCTCTCCAGTCTCCATAGAACTTAAAATATTCATTTTATTTTAGTTTTCGTGTTCGCATTTATGAGGAAAAAACAATGTTACAGACGCGACCGCTCTGAACTGGCACTAAAAGACTGCTTAACTTTCACATAGTCTGTTGCCTTTAAGAAGTAGAAGCAGACAATACACTGTAATACAACTGTAATACAAGCCTCACTGAACATGTAACGAGTAAAATATTACTGAAAATTGATTAGTAATGCCTTACACTACTGCGTTACAGCAAAAAGTAATATGTTACTGTCACCGGGTGAACCAACTAGGAACCAAAAAAAATATTGACTCGTTTCCAGGGGGAAGAAGTGCCGGTGTAACACCGGGCCGGCTTTTGGTAAACATTTCTGACTATAATGAGCGCCAGCTGAAGCCAATGAGCAGCGCTTCATTGAATCTCATGACGGGAGGGAAGAATATAAAGAGAGAGGCTTGAAGCATAGGAGGAAGCTTTTGCATTGGGAGAACTTCACACAAGTGCTCGAGGGGATTAGAGCAGTGACAGCGGGCGGCAGGATAAGGCTGGTTCCTTGTTCATCTCTGTGAGATCATTTGTCTTTGGATCATCCATCCTATGAAGAGAAGAGAGGCGAGTTGTTTTAATCACTGTGATGGTAGAGTGAGTTGCAGTGTCTGAAAGAGTGAAACAAACACGTGTGAAGATTTCCAAGAGTGATTTATGCACGAGTGTGGTGAGATCAAACAACTGTGTTCTCTCTGAGTCTCTGATGGATGAGATCGACCCATAACTTTAAGAGTTTTTTTCTGATCTGCTCTCCTGCCTGTGTTGAAGTAAAACAGAGCTGCTGAATCGAGTATTTCCCCCAGCTGTCATCCAGTCGTGTGAGTACAACACACCGAGTTAATAGTGACATCTTCATCTGTCTTCCTGCTTGTGTTGAAGTAAAACAGAGCTGCTGAACCGAGTATTTCCTCCTGCTGTCATCCAGTCGTGTGAGTACAACACACCGAGTTAATAGTGACCTCTTCATCTGTCCTCCTGTCTGTGTTGAAGTAAAACAGAGCTGCTGAACTGAGTATCTCCTCCTGCTGGCATCCAGTCGTGTGAGTACAACACACAGAGTTAATAGTGACCTCTTCATCTGTCCTCCTGTCTGTGTTGAAGTAAAACAGAGCTGCTGAACTGAGTATCTCCTCCTGCTGTCATCCAGTCGTGTGAGTACAACAGACAGAGTTAATAGTGACCTCTTCATCTGTCCTCCTGTCTGTGTTGAAGTAAAACAGAGCTGCTGAACTGAGTATCTCCTCCTGCTGTCATCCAGTCGTGTGAGTACAACACACAGAGTTAATAGTGACCTCTTCATCTGTCCTCCTGTCTGTGTTGAAGTAAAACAGAGCTGCTGAACTGAGTATCTCCTCCTGCTGTCATCCAGTCGTGTGAGTACAACACACAGAGTTAATAGTGACATCCCCATCTGCTCTCCTGTCTGTGTTGAAGTAAAACAGAGCTGCCGAACTGAGTATCTCCTCCTGCTGTCATCCAGTCGTGTGAGTACAACACACAGAGTTAATAGTGACCTCTTCATCTGTCCTCCTGTCTGTGTTGAAGTAAAACAGAGCTGCTGAACTGAGTATCTCCTCCTGCTGTCATCCAGTCGTGTGAGTACGACACACAAAGTTAATAGTGACCTCTTCATCTGTCCTCCTACCGGTGTTAAGTAAAACAGAGCTGCTGAACTGAGTATCCCCTCTCGCTGTCATCCAGTCGTGTGAGTACAACACACCGAGTTAATAGTGACATCCTCATCTGTCCTCCTGTCTGTGTTGAAGTAAAACAGAGCTGCTGAACTGAGTATCTCCTCCTGCTGGCATCCAGTCGTGTGAGTACGACACACAGAGTTAATAGTGACATCCTCATCTGTCCTCCTGTCTGTGTTGAAGTAAAACAGAGCTGCTGAACTGAGTATCTCCTCCTGCTGTCATCCAGTCGTGTGAGTACAACAGACAGAGTTAATAGTGACATCCTCATTTGCTCTCCTGCCTGTGTTGAAGTAAAACAGAGCTGCTGAACTGAGTATCTCCTCCTGCTGTCATCCAGTCGTGTGAGTACAACACACAGAGTTAATAGTGACCTCTTCATCTGTCCTCCTGTCTGTGTTGAAGTAAAACAGAGCTGCTGAACTGAGTATCTCCTCCTGCTGTCATCCAGTCGTGTGAGTACAACACACAGAGTTAATAGTGACATCCCCATCTGCTCTCCTGTCTGTGTTGAAGTAAAACAGAGCTGCCGAACTGAGTATCTCCTCCTGCTGTCATCCAGTCGTGTGAGTACAACACACAGAGTTAATAGTGACCTCTTCATCTGTCCTCCTGTCTGTGTTGAAGTAAAACAGAGCTGCTGAACTGAGTATCTCCTCCTGCTGTCATCCAGTCGTGTGAGTACGACACACAAAGTTAATAGTGACCTCTTCATCTGTCCTCCTACTGGTGTTAAGTAAAACAGAGCTGCTGAACTGAGTATCCCCTCTCGCTGTCATCCAGTCGTGTGAGTACAACACACCGAGTTAATAGTGACATCCTCATCTGTCCTCCTGTCTGTGTTGAAGTAAAACAGAGCTGCTGAACTGAGTATCTCCTCCTGCTGGCATCCAGTCGTGTGAGTACGACACACAGAGTTAATAGTGACATCCTCATCTGTCCTCCTGTCTGTGTTAAAGTAAAACAGAGCTGCTGAATCGAGTATCTCCTCCTGCTGTCGTCCAGTCATCCTATGCAGCGAGCCTGACGACGAGAGAAGTCACTGTCAGTCCTACGAGCCTATGCAACGAGTTTAACGACGAGAGAAGTCACTGTCAGTCCCACGAGCCTATGCAACGAGCCTGACGACGAGAGAAGTCACTGTCAGTCCTACGAGCCTATGCAACGAGTTTGACGACGAGAGAAGTCACTGTCAGTCCCACGAGCCTATGCAACGAGCCTGATGACGAGAGAAGTCACTGTCAGTCCCACGAGCCTATGCAACGAGCCTGACGACGAGAGAAGTCACTGTCAGCCCTACGAGCCTATGCAACGAGTTTGACGACGAGAGAAGTCACTGTCAGTCCCACGAGCCTATGCAACGAGCCTGACGACGAGAGAAGTCACTG